GTTTTCTAGAATGAGTACAGGTTGTTGATACAAAAGACCATAAAGGTATTTTATTCTTTCTCCCCCTCTCTCTCCTTTCTCGAGTCCCTGCCAAAACACACAACCACATATTTTTCCTATGTCAGCATCATAACCTCTAAGCTTCCGTAAAGGAGAGGAAAGGTATGTTTAGTTTTTAAGAATGCGAAGTCTCTGAGTTGTTTCTTCTCTATCTATGACTCCTACAGATGTTGACTATATGGTTAATCATTCTTAATAGATTTAATTCACAAATTCGGACTTCATTGTGGCAACAGGGAAGTCATAAAGAAGAGAATTTCAAGTCATTAAAACAGAAACCTGCAGAATCCATCAACTTAGTGAGACATAAATGTTAACCATAATGCTGTATAAATGGCTTCAGTAGTTCTCAGCAGTGTCTTATCTGGCAGTAGTACAGACAGTGCTTTTGATTGATAGTTTCATGTCATTGTGCCCAATTTCATTTTTAGAGAAAAAGATTAATCTTCAATTCACACTCTAAGTACAAAAACTACTTCAGTGAAAATAAACTAAGTGAAGTCAATCTGCTTAAAATTTGGAGAAAAGGATGTAGTTATCACTAACCTGGATCTAGTTGATTGTGAGTTCCTCCGTTTGCAAATTTAGCTCCACCATTGCTTTCTTCCCCTCATGGCATGTGCCACATATCTGCAAATAGACTCCATGAGCTAACCAGCCTGACACTGGAATCCTTATCTCTCTAGACCAGTGGTCGGCAAACTGTGGCCCCTTGAGTGTGGCTCTTCCTGCGGGCGTGCTCGTACAGTGCGATTGAAGCTTCGTGGCCACACTCCAGGGGCCAAAGAGCCGTATGTGGCTCGTGAGCCGCAGTTTGCCGACCACTGCTCTAGACAATTCTCTCAATCTTGGGAATTTTAGTTTATTTTGGTTCACATTACCAGTTTGACCAAGATCACTCAGAAAATGAGCTTTTTCAGTTTGGAAACTTGAGTAGTTCAAGGATTTAATTTCCCCACTTTCTTGGCTTCCTATGTATGTATAACTACATCTTCAATATATATATTTTCAGATATTTAGAACTATATTCAATCTAAATTAAAAATAATGGGAGCAATAAAAAATTCTTTAAATTAGGAAAAACTGGTATATGAAACTATAAAATGTTTAAGTGAATCAAATAAACTTGAATGGACAATGTTTTCTCAAATCAGTTGTCCTAAATTTTGGTTTCCCAACAAGGTCATGAGCAATCTAGAGAGAATTCTTTTTCTTTTCTTTCTTTCTTTTTTTTTAAACATATATTTTATTCATTTTTTACAGAGAGAAGGGGAGAGGGATAGAGAGTTAGAAACATCGATCAGCTGCCTCCTGCACACCCCCTACTAGGGATGTGCCTGCAACCTAGGTACATGCCCTTGACCGGAATCGAACCCGGGACCCTTCAGTCCACAGGCTGACGCTCTATCCACTGAGCCAAACCAGTTAGGGCGAGAGAATTCTTTTTATTCCTGATTTAAGCCTTCCTTCTAACCCCCAAAGCTTGGGACAATGTTTCCCCTACTAATCTTCAGATTGTTGGTACATGGCTCTGCTGCTGTCCTTTACTTAAATGTCCTTTTTTTTGCAATTATTTCTTCACTGACTCTAGAGAAATGTTTAAATAAGCTTGCAAGAAGTGCAGGATTTGTTGCATTGACCTCTCTAGTCCTCAGAGAATTAGTAATTGGTTCTGCTGAAATATATCTTGTAGCTTTAAACAAAGTCTTTCATTTACTCCCACTTGGTATCCACAAATCTCATTGGAGGCCAGTTTTAGAAATGAAGTTGAGCTTTGGTTAGACTTGTGTCTCTGGCTCTATTTTAGGTTGGGACCGGGTACAAGAAGTCGGAAAGCTCATTATAGGGCTTTGTTGCTCATTTTGACATTGGTGAGAACCTGGCATGGGATATGTGGTGTTGTTAGGCCTAGGTCGGAATTCAGAGACTGGATTTCTCCCTGGAAACATGACTGTTATGAATGATATGGTTGCTCCAAGAATGGAAATGCTAGTGTCTTCAAGGTTATGTGCCAGGTAAACCTGGGAAATAGTGACATTCGTATCAATGACTGACTGAGAAGCCTTAGATGGCAGGATTCCTAGCTGCCAAAGACTGAGTGATATACAAGTCATGGATATATCTACTTCCTTTGGGATGAATACCTAGATGACAGTCTCAAGATGTATTCGGGGGAATGTGGCTTTTCTCTCTGTCCCACAGGAAGAGAAGCTTGGGGAAATACAGTAAAGTACTATGTTTTCACATAGTAGCCAGGGAGAAAAAAAACATCCAACCAAGCACTCTTGTATAAAGACAACATATCAGAGGTAGAGAATGGAAACACTATCAAAAGGAAGCTCCACTACAATCTTCTTTCTCTCTGATTCTGAGGTGATGAAGAGCTGGCTGCAGTCCAGCACAGAATCACCTTTCTTTGTTATCAACTTGTACCTTTAAACCAAATTGACACACTCCTGAAGTCCAGAACCAGAAACAGAAGCAATGCCTTTAGTTTTGTCCTCAGGAATTAACAAGTTTGCTCCTGTTTGCTACCAACTCACTCAGTCTGTCCCTCTTCCCCAGTATTTTGCTATTGTGGTAAATAATATATAACAAAAATGTACTATTTCGAACATTTATAAGTGTACAAATTGCTATGTGAACAACACCACCAACCATCTCCAGAATGTTTTCATCTTCCCAACGTGAAACTCTATATCCATTAAACAATTACTGCTCATTCCTCCACCTTCTTCCATCAGCCCCTGGAAACCAATGTTATTACTTTCTGCTTCTATGAGTTAGATACATCATATAAGTGGAATTATGCAATATTTGTTTTCTTTCCTTTTTTGGGGGGTAAATGATGCCTTGTCATTTTTTCCTTTTCTATTGAATTTATTGGGTGACACTGGTTAACAAAATTATATAGGTTTCAGGTGTACAATTCCACACCATATCTGTATACTGTATTATGTTTTCACCACCCCAAGTCAAGTCTCTGTTCATCACCATTTATCCCCCCGCCCCCCGCCGTGCCTTCCTCCACGTTTCCCTAATTCCAATCTCCCCTGCCGGTCACCACACTGTTGTCTGTGTCCATGAGTTTTTTTCTCTCTTTTAAAAAATATTTTTATTAATTTCAGAGAGGAAGGGAGAGGGAGAGAGAGATAGAAACATAAATGATGAGAGAGAATCATTGACTGGCTGCCTCCTGCACCCCACAACCCCCCATCTGGGGATTGAGCCCACAACCCTGCAACCCGGGCATGTGCCCTGACTGGGAATTGAGAATCGAATCGAACCATGACCTACTGGTTCATAGGTCCATGCTTAATCCCTGAGCCACTCCAGCCGGCCAATGAGTTTTTTCTCTTTTTTTGCTCAATCCTTCCATCCCCTCCCCACTCAGGCCTTCAATCCCCTCACCACCCCACTCTATGAGTCTGTCTCTGTTTTGCTTGTTAGTTCATTTTGTTTTTCTCTCACTGGCTTATTTTATTTAGAATAATGACCTCAAGGTTCATCCATGTTGTCACAAATGGCAGGGTTTCCTTCTTTTTAAAGGCTGAATAATGGTCTATGTACCACATTAAAAAAAATCCATGCATCTGTCAATGGACTTTTAGGTTGTTTCCACATCTTGGCTATTGTGCATATGCTGAAATGAACATAGCAGTACAAATAATTCCTTGAGATACTGATTTCAGTATTTTTGGATAAATACCCAGGAGTGGGATGACAGGATCATATGGAAGTTTCATTTTTAATTTTTTGAGGAACCTCCATCCTGTTTTCCGTAATGGCTGTATCAATTTACATTCCTACTAGCAGAGCACAAGGGGTCTCTTTTCTTCATATCCTTATCAACACTTATCTCTTTGTCTTTTTGATTATAGCCATTTTAACAGATGTGAGGTGATATATCATTGTGGTTTTGATTTGAATTTCCCTCTGATTAGCGACCTTGAGCTACTTTTCATTTGCTTGTTGGTCATTTGTATATCTTCTTTGTAGTAATGTCCATTCAAGTCCTTTGTCCATTTTTAAGTTGGGCTATTTTTGCTCTTGAGTTATGCATTCTTTATACATTGTGGATATTAACCCCTTACCAAATGTATGGTTTGCAAATAGTTTTCCCCATTCTATAGGTAGTCTTTTCACCCTCTTAATTGTTTCCTTTGTTGTATAGAAATTTTCTATTCAAATTTGAATGTGTCTTGATTATTCAGCTATTATCAACTCTCTCATTTGTACCAGATACTTTTGTTCCTATTAGCTAAGGCACAAATTCATTAAATAAAAAATTACTTTGGAGGTGAAGTGGTATATAGGATGTCTTTGAGAAAAAAGGGCTACATAAATTATTTTCTGCCTGTCAAATCTTGTGCAAGATTGCTCTCTGAATGTACCTGGAAGAATTTTATATCCCTCTATGGCTTTGGGCAGAAAAATAATTTATTTTGGAAAGAGTCCATATTACAATGTAAATGGTGCTATCTGGAATTGTGTAACACAGAAGCATTAATTTTGGAATGAGTCCTGCTTAATGACACCCTCTCATTCCTCAAAACCCATTCATTTTTGGTTGATCCTTATCTCTTACAATAATAAATCTACTTTGACTACAGTAGTTGGGATTAAAACTAAGCATTTTCAACAAAATTTCCATCAGGCCTATTTGTTTAAATATTTTAATTACTTAGCCTGTTGGTTATATTATCTATACCTGAAGATTTACAGAGAATTGTTCTACAGAATACACAAATTCAGAGATTTTCTATACATGTGACATTTTTATGTTGATTAGCAATGTCCCTTTGAGCAATAATTCGTAAATACAAAGAAGTTTCTAATTGTAGGGAACTTTGGTCATCATTTAATCAAATATTGATATTTTATGAAAGAGAAACCATTGAAGATTTTAGAAAGCAAGGGGAACAAAAATCTACTTAAACTCACATTATTTTGACTTCAAGACCATTATCCTTTCTATTAGTCACACTTGTTCTTAAAATATGAATAGATTTTATTTCGATTTTCTCTATTAGTTTTTGGCTCCAGAGCTTTCTCATGGCATTTTTCATCTCTGAGTTTCTGAGGGTGTAGATTAAAGGGTTAAACATGGGTGTTATCGTAGTATAAAACAGAGCCACCACTTTATCACTGGGGAAGGTGATCATGGGCCGAAGGTACACAAATATGCAGGGTACAAAGAACAGGACAACGACAGTAACATGGGAGGTACAGGTGGAGAGAGCCTTCTGCCGTCCTTCAGTACTGTGAGCTCTTAGGGAGCAAAGGATGTGGACATAAGAGGTGATAAGAATAGAAAAAATTAACATACTCATCAGTCCACTGTTGGCAGCAACAAAAAGTCCGAAGATGTGAGTGTCAGAGCAGGAGAGTTTTAGCAGAGGGAAAAGATCACAGATGAAATGGTCAATGACATTGGGGCCACAGAAGGGTAACCAGACTATAAAAAGAATTTGAATCAGAGCATGAAGAAATCCTCCGGCCCAGGCCATGGCCACCAGGAGGCCACACACTTGCCTGTTCATTGTTATTGTGTAGTGCAGGGGCTTGCAGATGGCCACATAGCGGTCATAGGCCATGACTGTGAGCAGGATGATCTCAACTCCCCCAAAGAAATGTTCAGCAAAGAGCTGAGTCATGCACCCTTTGAAGGAGATAGTTTTCTTTTCAGTGAGTAAGTCAAATATCATTTTGGGGAGCATGGCAGAAGAGCAGCAGCCATCTACAAAGGACAAGAAAGAAAGAAAAAAATACATGGGGGAGCCCAAGGCTCGGCTGGTGGTGATTGTCACTACAATGAGTAGGTTGCCTGCCACGGTGAGGAAGTAGATCACTGTGAACACAGCCAGCAGGAGTTTCTGCACATCTGGGTTCCGTGTCAGGCCAAGCAGGATGAATTCTGTCACGTTGTTCCTTCGCTCCATGAGTCCACTCTAGCATTTGGATAATTGATTTATCTGTGAATAGCACAGGGATTGCAGTTGTGGCAGATACATTTTGATCAAGCAAATACTTTCTGTCAGGATTGTTTTCTGTAAGACTGATGGAAACCCCAAGCAGATAAACCCAAGACTTTTGCTATGTATTAGTCATATAATGAATACATAGCACTTCCTTTCTTTCTCTCCTTCCCTCTCCCCTTTCCTCCTTTCTTTCTCTCACTCACTCATTCCACTCATATACATAAACACAGTATTATGACTGTTGGTTTTCCAGACATCTTTCCTGTAATTGTCCACAGATGGCTATTCTCCCAACAATTGCCATAGTGTTTTACCCCATACAGAAAAGGAATACAGAGAAGACCCATAAAGGAGCAGAATCTTGAATTCAAGAGTCTATTTCCACATGTCTCTTTTCTTGTCACTTGTGCTGATGAGGATTAAAGTCAGAGTTCATTATTCTTACTATCTTTAATTTGTTTCAGGGTGAATGCAATTAGATATTAAAGTGAATTCAATTAGATATTAGAAATGATATAGTCACATTCCAGAAAAACAGAACTGAGTGAATGTTTGAGGCTCCAGTAAGCTATATCTGGCAGATTGTGAGCTTATACTATATTTAAACACAACTATCTAAGGATATAATCAAACAGGAAGGAAGAAGAACATTTTGAAGAGGATGAAGCAGACAGCATGATGCAGTGCGAAGTTCCCCAGATTTATTGGAAACTTTAGAATTCACTGTTTAGAGAACTTCTGTCATGTTTAGGTTTCAGGGTCATTTTACAAATCAAAACTCAATTTAAGGAAGACTAGGAGAAATTCTCAGGATCTACTACAAAACAGCTACTTTTAAAGTGAAGAGGAAACACAAGCATCATAATTTGTTGGACAGAGTATATTCTTTATAGCCAGACTGTTTTTCATTCTGTTTTCACTGATTAGTAGCCATGTGAAGTTGTGTATAGATCTTAGTTGACTGTGCCTAAACTTTCTCATATATAAAATAGGAAAAATAAATGGCATAGAGGTACCAAAGTATATCATTATTACATAAGCCAAAGTTTTATCCTAAAGGTGAAACATAGAGCTCTCCACACACTCTAAATTTTTGATGAAAGAATAAAAATGAACCCCCCATATCAGTATTCTTTTTTTTAAAATATATTTTATTGATTTTTCAAATAAAAATGAACTCCCCACATATCATTATTCTTATTCTTGAAATATTTTATTGTTATATTAAGAAACAAAGATAAACAGAGAATAAATGAACTAAATATTCAATTCAAAAATATCAAATAAAACTGATGAGCATAGATAAGCTCAAGAAGAAGCAAGTATAATCAAATTGCAAAAGAACCCCATTTAAAAATAATACTTAAAATAATGTCATGCATAGTTCATAAAATGTTTTTAAATTCTTATTCTTGAAATATTTTATTGTTATAATATTAAGAAACAAAGATAAACAGAGAATAAATGAACTAAATATTCAATTCAAAAATATCAAATAAAACTGATGAGCATAGATAAGCTCAAGAAGAAGCAAGTATAATCAAATTGCAAAAGAACCCCATTTAAAAAAATAATACTTAAAAGAATATCATGTATAGTTCATAAAATATTTTTTATATTTGAATGGGAAGTTTTCAAATAAAGTCTTTTCTCCTCATGCCATCATCAAAAGAGAGAGAAAGAAAACCCCAAGTACCATGTGTTAAAGCCTTCAAATAAAACATAGATCTGTTTAAAAACAGAAAAACAAAAAAGTAAATATATATCTAATCTTTTGATGGAGAAAGAGTATTTTCAGTGAAATGCAATGGTATAAACACAAGATAAAACTAATGGGCTCAACTACATAAAAATATGGAACACACTGGAAAAGTACTTGCAACACGTATAACAGATCATCATTATTGTAGAATTATTTTTACAAAAAAGGATCTATACACACCAGTATTAAAATAGGGGAAATAAAAAGATAATTCTCAGATAAAACATTAGATATCTAAAAATTCCTCTATTTCATAAGTCATCAAAGAAATACAACTTAAAAACAGTGACATACTTCTAACTGACAAATTGGCAAAGATTTATGACAGTTATATTACCCAGTGCTGGTGAGTGTGTATTGATGTAGAATATTCTGGAAAGAAGTCTGATTGTACACAATAAGGGCTTTATAACTGGTCATGTCCTTTGGTCCAGTACTCCTTAGGAATCTATTAGAGATAAAATATAAACAAAAATTATGCTTACAGGTTGTATTTCATAATATATTTTTTATGATAGTGAAAAAGTGAAAGCATTTCAGATGTCTATGTAAAGAGGAACAACTAATGAATTATAGTTATGAAATATCAGGTGGACATTAAATTTTTTTGCAAGAATTAATGGTGTGGAAAGAGTCTTCTAATATAATATTGAGTGGCAAACACAAATTATAAAGAGTTTATAAGTTATGATCTTTTGTCCAAAATAACATTTATACATAGAAAAGTATTTGAAAAAAGTACACTAATGACTAATAGTGCTTATTGGAATTGTGGGTTAAGGATGATTTTTGTATTCTTTTAAAAATGTTCTGATCCAAGTTTTCTACAAAGAAATATATTACTTTTATAGTAAGTAAAATAATTTAATGATATAAATTTTATTTTTTTTATCTTAGGTTTTGGTCCATAATATCCTGACTGATTCCTTAGTAGACCAAGTATGCCAGTTTCATAAAAATCCATGACAGTAGAATCCCATAGGGGAGGAGGGTTGTAGGGCTGGGTGAAAAAGGTGAAGGGATTAAGCAAAAAAACAACACAAAACACCCCAACAACACAACACTTTCCCCAAACAAACAAACAAACAAACTCCCCAAACAACTCATAGACACAGACAGCAGCAGCATGAAGATTAACCAGAGGGGAAGGGGGGTGGGGGGAGGTAGGAGAGGGTACAGTGAGGATAAATGGTGATGGAAGGAGACTTGACTTGGGGTGGTGAACACATAATACAATATACAGATGATGTATTATAGGATTGTACACCTGAAATCTATATAATTTTATTAACCAATGTCACCCCAATAAATTCAATATGAAAAACAAGGAATCACAGACTATACCTACCTCTCAGAATGCATTTGGGAAGGAAGTAACAGATCCATTCAATAACAAGGCATCTTATTTGTAGAGCACACTTTGCATGGAGGTAGCATCACTGACCCATTGCTAATGACTGCTCTGCAGGTTCATCCATTTTTATCTTAAGTATAATGTCCCCCCCCTCCTCACTTAATGACCTGAAAACAATTGCTGTGACTTCCTAAGTGATGCTCAGTTTATGGGCCTGGGTTTAGTTCTGCTTTATAGGTTCACACCATCCTGTCAGTGTAAGGCACAGTATCCCAGCTCAGATAATGAATTTCTTTAGTCAGACAGCTTCCAAAGTTTAGGTTTCAAAAGAAATTGATGGAAAAAATACCTAACCGTTAGAGGACATCTCTCCAAGCCACCTTCTACTTACTCTCTTGCCAGTCTTTCTTGGTGATCAGATGAAATATATCATAACTAGAGGCCTGATGCACGAAATTTGTGCAAGGAGCTCGGCCCTCGCAGCTGTGGTGGCTTGCCTTGGCCCTCGCAGCCCCAGCTTTGTCCGGAAGGTTGTCCAGAAGGTCCTTCGGCTATCTGGCCTAATTAGCATATTACATAATTATAATATTGCTTTTATTATTATAGATAGGCATTTGATTTGAGATCTAATCTGATTTAAAGCCACAGAAATATCAGACTATGTTATAGCAGAAAAGTTAAGGATTGTAAGCACCAGAAAATCAAGCAACAAATGAAAGTTGCCTTGAGTAGCAGGACCCTGAACTCGGCTCTTTTAAGCCTCCTTTTTTAAGCCTGCACTCAGCCAGGAGATAACTCCTTTGATCTGGGAGTCTGGACCTAAATGGGTTGGAAACTCAGAATCAAACAGCTTCTGTGATCTGGGGCTGGTTATGCTTATGTGGTCTTCTTGGGTTTTCCTTATAAACATTTTCACATGTGGTTTCAGGGAAATATTTAAATGGGTATTACTCAAGTGCAAGAAGTTAAGATGGCTTTTACCTCTCAACTCCCAGAGGACTAGAATTAGCAGCTCCAACCAAATCAGTTTATACTTTCTCTCTTGTGGCCAAGGCATGTGTGACCACCGGGGCAGGGAGAGCCAGCTGGGCTGTGTGGGCAGCTCTCTATTGTTGTGTTTAGGAAGTGATTCTAGAATCTGGGACCTAAGGCACAGAATGTTCTAGTCATCAGTGGGTGCATGAGCCAGCCAGGGTATCTTAAACAGTGTTAGTAACACCTGTCTCAGAGTTATAGGGAGGATTGTGCAAAGTAACATGTGAAAACCTCGTAGGCAGTGCAAAACTGCTGTTCTATGGTCATTGTCCTGAGGCTAGAAAACATGGAGGCGAGAGAAACTGCTCTTTAATAATACATTTTGAATCAAGCTAAAGAGTAAGAGTTTTGCTGGTACTTTTATTTTTATAATATCTCGGGCAACTCCTCCAACTCTTTATACCTAAATTCTCACATCTATAAAACGTGCGTGATAAGGATACCTAATGGGGGTTCTGTGAGATAAAGCATATAATGTGCTTAGATTAGTGGCTGGCATAGAGTAAAAGCTCAAGGTTTGTTGTCATGTCTGTTACAGGAAATCAGAGCTCATGATGTGACCAATTCAGATTTTTGGTAGGAATTGTCTCAATTCATCTCTCTCTCTCTCTCTCTCTCTCTCTCTCTCTCTCTCTCTCTCCCTATACCTATATACCTATATACCTATATATCTCTATCACTATATCTATATCTATATCTAGATCTAGATCTAGATCTATTTATGTCTATATTGATCTATCTCTGTACTATATCTCTATCTATTTATGTCTATATTGATAAAGTATTGGTAGAATCTGGGCAAATACAGAAATTAGGAGAGAAGAAAGACCAAGTTTTAAAGTATTGAATACTGATTCATAAGT